ATTTACTTTTCTTGTGTTTGGTTTGCATGAGAAAAAAAGGGAAAAGTTGGTTTTGAAGTGTGTATGGAAAAGTGTTTAGAGTCACCAAGGTAAGATTACCCCACACTATAGACAAAAATTATTTGTGCTAGTTATGGGATGTAATCTTAATCATATAAAAGTACGAATATATCATAAATAAATAATAATATCCCGAATGAATTATAAATTTCTGTTTGTATTAATGAAATCATACGAAACCTGAAATCATATGAACACAAACATTGAACAATCATCATAGCCTAAATTGAACACCCACAAACAGTTATCATTGAACACAAACATTGAAAAATTGACAATCATCATAGCCTAAATTGAACACCCACAAATAGTATCATAATCAACAAATGGTGCAGAAAATCTGAACACACATAGAACTCCAAGTGACTGAACACAAACATAGCACAAACTAGAGCATTGGTAAAACTGGTCATGAACAAACATGAGCTCAAATAGAAGTTGAACAACAGAGCATCCACAAAACATGAGCTCAAATAGAACTTGAGCAAAAGAGAAGATGTCATGTGTGCACAAAACATAGCACAAACAAGTGCTCACAAAACTGGTGTGCACAAACATGAGCTCAAAGAGAAGTTGAACAACAGAACATGTAACCAGGAAACACCCACCAACCTGAACAAATAGAAGTTGTCACAAACCTGAACACAACAACCACCAACAATCCCGAGCACACATTGTGTTTAGCTTAGGGCTCAGAACTTGGTCAATATCATCATTGTTAGCCATCCAATGCAATATCAATAGATATTGCAGGTTGCTAATCTTAGAAAAATTGACAATCATCATAGCCTAAAAATAAAAAAGTCACCAACGAAAACCAAATACCTAAATACCCCAGAGTCAATGTAGAACTAGATCGGGAACTGCCATTGATCACTGCATTTGGATTTCTAATGACAGGACCTCCTAGAAGTAATGCACCTGGTTGTAGCACTGCAGACAAGTTATATGGTTTGCCCAAAGAGCCAGCAGTCTGACAAAAAGGGTTGAGCTTCAACAGTTGTTGCTGGAAATGTATTAGACGAGCAATGTAGCAATGTGTGGCACAGTGATTTGGTAGCATGACAAGAGGTGCCTGTAAAACACAGAGAAGACTAGCTAAAGTAGAGTAATGATTAATGAAATTTATGAGCAATACATAAAACAAGTTTCAAATCTGGGTTTGAAAAGTTTTCAAGAGCACGACTTTAATAATTATTGCAGAGATGTAGACATGTTCAAGCAACGTGTCAATAAAATATCCCAGAAGTTCAAGTGTCCATAGTACACTTTTATTCAATGCGCACTTCCTAATATCAGTCTAAATGGATTTTAAGATCTAAGTAACCCAATAAAATCATATGTTTCACAGTTCATTGACTCAGAAAGGTAAAGAAACTTTTAGGAAATATGGACAGTTATCCTAACGCATTATTTTTGCATTTTCCCGTAGATGTGATTTTCCCAGTGGTTTGTCGACAATGGAAGTGTTCACTAAAAATAGTTGTGCTACTTCGTAGCTGTTCATTATATTGAGATTCACTGCTTATGTATGAAAATAGGAGAACTATATGTATATATTTTTTCTGCTATTCATAAATATAAAGAATTGGGAAGCATGCTATTATCTTAAAAGTGAATTCATCTCTAAACCTTAATCCACATGGGTATAGGGGCCAATAAAAGTTTTCAAATGTACAATATAAGCAAGTATTAATGGGTTACTGGAGAGTCTAGTGTAACTAGCTCCAAGTTTTTGAGCAAACAAGGAGTACATAATCAAGCCAATGGCGCCTCTGATACATAATATTCAAATCTTTTTGTCTATGGGAACACAATATGTCTTAAAGAATATTTAAAAATAAAGTATTTCTGTAAAGACAGTCAAACAAAATGCAGGTGAATATAAAACGTTTAACCTAAGTTTATAGTTATATTGACAATGATGAACCATCACCTGACTGAATAGGCTTAAATGTTTGTCAGGCTAAGCTGCAATAACCGCCAAACTCAAAATCTATCCATCTTTCTTAAAACAATGAATTGTCAGTAAAATAAATTCAGGGCAGTTTCAAACATTTTCTCAAGGAGTTTGTTTTCAAATTAATTACAAATTTTGTTCATACCCATATGGTCGAATAGCATCAAGCGAACATGGAAGTGGTATTGAGAATGGGGTAGATATTGCAGCGATGTTGTTGTTTATTAAACCTAAAAGATTGTGTGTGAATGTCAAAAGCTCCTGTTCAAACTCATGAAAATAGATGATACTAAATATCAATCGCCTCTCCTTACCAGCTCTTCCTGATGGAAGTAAAATATCTTTCACTTATTTTTGAGAGTGTTTCTTTGCACCCATTTTGGCATTGTCGTGATCTTGACATGATCCACTTTTCCCTTTAATCAGGGGTTGGTTTTCCATGCCTTCCTTAGTCACTTCTTGATCTTGACATGATCCACTTTTCCCTTTAATCAGGGGTTGGTTTTCCATGCCTTCCTTAGTCACTTCTTTCTAATGAAATTCATGTAGCACACATGTATTCTGATTTGATTTTGAATCCTCTATCTCTAGCTCACAAGAAAGCCTAGAAGCGCCTCTTTACAAATATTTTCACCATTGCTAGAGCCCTGTCAAATAAATTGCAGAAAATAAAAATCTTACTTAATGAACTAAGGTTAATTTGCTTTAGTGGTTCCCAGCAGTAACATACCATCCTATAGAACTTCATATTTACACAAAACTTCGGCTTGTATAATACAATTTCCCAGTTTTGCTCATATAAGAAAATTCATACACGTATTTGTGTGGAACTTTAAAAGTCTTATTCTTCCTTCTGGAGTATATTTTAACGTGTTTCAAGTAGTCATACTTAGAGAACTCAAACTGATAAGAGTGACAAACAGAGCATTAACTGGCCTTCTAGTGGCAAAGAGATAAAACAACACATGTACATGTAGAAACACAGGGACAGAGCGCTTACCTGATTGATATATGACACTTGAGGTTCGCATTCATTTGTCGCATCAACTTCATCATCATCTGGATAGGGAAAAGCTTGGTTATTCCCCTCTTTGCGAGTTCACCAACAATACTCTGATCAATCCCAAGCTTAAAAATCTCAAGCCCCTCATCATCTCCCCCTTTCTTCGAACTCACCACCTTCTCCTCCTCAAAATACCTCTCCTCCATCGCGAATCCAGCTCGAGCGGCATCCGAAGCCCTAAAGCCCAAGCTCCTCGTACCCAAATGAAACCCTCTGCCCCTGATCTCAAAGATTCCGCCTTTCTTTGATCCATGGAGGTGGTCGAGGCTGGAGATCGAGGAGGGGGTGGAGGTGAAGGATTCGGAGGGGACCAAGCGTAGGAGGGCGACTAGGGTTCGTGAGGGGTAGAGTCGGAGATTTCTGGCGGTGGATTTCTGGTCGCGGGAGATTTCTAGCGGCATTAGAGCAAGGAGGTAATTCTAGCGTCCCCGAAGAAATCAACGAGGAGAGAAAAATCTGAGGTGGCTAGTGTTTTCGTCGATTTCTCTCGGTTGGGGAAGGAAATCGGGGAGAGAAAAAAATCCGAGTTGGAGGCTTTTTCAGTCGTGTTTTCCATCTTAAACCTTAGCGAACCAAAGCGATGAAAAGAAACGGGCGGAAGCAAAAAAATCCAACGTGGAGGTGGTGTCAGAGGCAGAAATAGATTTCCTTGGGCTCTTAAAGTGAACCAAACAGCCCCTAAGGGTAATGTGTAGCATCCATCATCCATGTTTCCAAGCTACAATACCAACTAGGGGTGCATTCGGTCCGGATACGGCTCAGATACGATGCTTATCATATCCATATCCGCTTACCCATCTCAGATACGGATACGGATACGGATATACCTCAGTAAGAAAAATTTATAATCATATCCGCTAAAATCGGATATGGTTACGGATATACATGCGGATATATAAGCGGATATGCATGCAGATACAAAACAGATATGAGAAAACTAGATAGTATTGAGAAAAACATAGTTCATATGATACAAAAGAGTTTGTTAATATGTCATTATAATTGAAAAGTTAAGATTAGACATATTGATCATCAAAATTAACCACAAATCCATAATCTAAGAATCGAAACTATCGTAAGAGTATGACTAATATGTATTCGGATATTTCGGATACGGATACAGATATTTCACTACAAAATCATATCCGTAACCATATCCTATCGGTTATAGATTTGAGTAACCATATTCGTATCCTAACGGATACAGTTACGGATATTTTCTCGGATACGGATACGGTTTAGCACACCTAATACCAACACATTGTACATTTTGTTGTTAATGTAGATTATTGAAATAGGTAGGCTTAAATGTAGCATTAGTTATAACCATGGGTATATAGACGAAAGCCCTTTTATTAATTATTTCTTTTAACTATAGGCTAACGAGGGGTACTATAGAATGAACAGCGCCAAACTACGATACCAAACTCGGTAACTTCAGTATATAGATGAATGAATAATTTATCATGTTAAAATTTAACCCAGTTTTCTTTTACCTCATACCAAACAAGCCCTTATTTTACAAATTCATCTTTTAAGGCAAATTTCAAAATAAAGATGATGTGAATGAACAACATGAGCAAAAACCAACTCTATGATTTGAAGGTTACATATGAGAAGGAATTAATTAGGGACAGATCCGTGTATTATCACCTAATTGCGGATGAACCCCATATGTCTATTCTTCCGGAATCCAGCGAGATCTCTGACTAATTTTAAAAAAAAAATTCATTCACCTCTAGAGGTCTATTTATCAAATAATAATAATAATAATAATAATAATAATAAAATAAAATAGAGCTACCCACTATCGAGCTGCGACACTAAAACTAGTAGGGACCTAGCTGCAATTGCGCTATAGGACGTGGGCCTGTGAGCAATTAACCCCAATTAGAAACCCACTTTCGTATGCAATTCGAAGGGCGGGAGTGGATAGGGTTTTTTTTTCTTTCTCCGCGTTTTTCTCGTTGAACTGGCTAGGGTTTCTCGCCGTCCGTTCTCTCTCTTCGAAGATCAGAACGAAGAAGAAGAGGAAGAGATGGATACTTCCTTTAGATACAGCTCCGATTCCAAATCTCTAAGGATCCGCGCGAAGCAAAAGCTCTCCGTTGACCCCAAAACCCTAATTCAGGTTCCCCCCAATTCTCATTCTCTTTCCACTCCCAACGCGTTTTAATTTTTCTCTATATTATTGGATGTTGTCTATGTTCACCCTGTTGGAATCTTGATAATTAATCTGCTGATAAAACATTTAATTACATCTTTGTTTTTGAGCAAGATTGTATCTCGAAGAAAATGTAGATAACTATTAGAACAACAGTTAATTATTTATGTATAGATTCACAACGTTCGTCCTTCTATCAAAGATCACACTTTTAAAGTATGGATGTAGCTTCAACGGGTGATAGTTGCAGACTAAGGATCGGAATCTCGCGATAGATTCCAGCCAACCAAGTGTTTTGGACTATGATTTCAGAAATCAACCGCAACTAGAAAACCCCAGACTCAATTATGTCACAGAAATATCAGGCTTCCAAACAAAAGTAGCTTGAAACATATAAAAACCTCATCCGAATCAGGATCTAGAACTTAAAGTTCAGATATTTGTCCACGGAAAAATCCCAAGAAGAAATCAGAATCTGTTATTCTGTTCATCTCAATTAAAAATAAAAATAAAGTACCATTCATTGTACTCAATAGTCTCCACGTTATAGCTTGAAAAAGATATGACAGAACCCTAGAAAAGAAATGAGAGCTGATCGACGCTAGCAAGTGATTTCGGTGAAGAGAAAATGGAAGAACCTTCTTTATATTTGATTTGGGCTTGGGTTTATTCCGTCGGACTCTTGTTCTAGTCTTCAATTAAGGCTGTTTGATCTTGATTAGGTTCTTGTTTTATTTTCCTCGGTCTGGTTTTACTCCACTGTCAATTCTGCGTCATTGATTGGAGTTGACAGTGGATCAATACGCTGAAATAGCTACCAGGACCGAACTTATCTATCAATTACGCTCAAATAGCTACCAGGACCGACTATGATGCATGTTAGTGAATATTTATTATTCGCTAAATTGGCATTTTGAATGTGTAAGGCTGGGCTCCAAAATTTAATGAATAATCTGTTTCCCAACACGACTGATAATAAAATTTAATGGCATAAAGAGGTCCACAGCTGCTGTCTGTGATATGATCATCAGCTCTTTTCCGCTGGAAATTATCATGGTCCTTTTCAACAGCACAAGCAAAATGCCTGTTTGTTTCCTTCTCATCAATCCAGACCCTTGTTATACTGCATGTATATTTGAGAAAGTGTTGAGTTGTGATGTCAATTTAGTCTCTTCAACATTATTTTATTTTAGGCTCATGGAGAATTAGATACCAGGACAGGGGCTCCAAGCTATCTTGCTCTGATCATTCGCCGCTTCTATCCGGACGTAAGTCATGCATTTTCCCCCTCTTTTGAATGTGCATGTGTAACACATGATGTATGATAAAAAAATGTGATATATTTTGCTGTTCCTTATTATTGTAGCTATCAGCTAGCGTGGGGGTAGGGGTTCAGACCAGTAAGGCGCTTCAGACTGCTAAACGTGACAAGTTCGGTTACTATATTAGAGGAAAGAAGGCAATTTCACTCACATCTAATGGTTTTGTGGGAATCAACATCAAAGGAAGGTGTGATACAGATAAAGAATTTAAAGAGGTTAGTATTACTGGTGGAAGCTAACTCAACCTCGATGAAGTACCTGTGATTTTAAATATCTATAATTCATTAGGAAAAAATTAATAATTTCCTTGACGGTAAGCCTAGTTGGCCTTTTCATTTATTTTAAACTTCATATAACCTACTTGTATTATTTTCTGGGAACTAATGCATTAGCTGAATTGTAGTTGTTTGAGACATGTGATGTTCAATTGAGTATTTAACCTTTGGAAGTAATTTATATGTTCATTACCCTCTTGGATTTTCACATTGGAAAAGGTTGCATCATGCTTGTTTTTTTATACATTTAACATAATTAACTCTACAAATTACAAAGTGCTTCCTGTAGTTTTAAGTATAGTAAAGCTCATAAGAATTTTAGACATTGAGTTATATTGCACATATATCACTGGTATCATAAGTTGTTTCCCAAGCTTGTCGAGAATTTGCATCTTTCAAGTTCTTTTTTCCTTATCATGCTTCAACTATTTATGATATGTCAGTGTCAGATGGAGAAAGTATGAAGGAGAATTAAGGAAAACGTCATAAAAGGTTTACATTTTTATTGATAGTTTCCTCTTGGTTTCAATTTCTCGAACTTAATGCCAGACGAACTAAGCTACTTCAACTCAAATGTAAAGACGTGAAGAAAGCTCATCCTAAAATAACATTTATAGGTAAAGAATAAGAGATCCCCAAGTCCGTAAGATTGCAATTTTATTGACAAGACTTTATATTCTGTTTTCAGCTTCAACCAAAGTTTTTACACTTACCCTTTGACACCCTTGAGAGTCCAAGGATCTTTGAGTATACTTTGTACTAAAGTATTATAGTGGAAAGATCTTTGAGATTAGGGCTCATGCGTCCACTTGACACTGGGAACTCGAGTTAGAGTTTGTAAGTCTGTTCTCCACCGGCAGTTATGTAAAATTGATTTGTCCAAAATGATTAATGTTTAGTTTATAAGGCCCAATATGATTTGGAAGGCAATTGATTTCCGTGCTGAATAGCATGTTTGCTAAGTTCTCATTCTCAAATCTCACGCTGACCTCAATTCTAGCCTTTTCTCTGTTGTCTTATTTCTGAACTTGTCTCTTTCTCTTTCTCTTAGTTCATTCTATTTTCTATGGCATGCTTATCCCAATTCTAGCTATTTCTTCTCTCGTTAACATTATAACCATCATCATCAAAGCTATTTTTCTGTCAAAACGGAGCGCTAAGTTCCATTGAAAAATTGCCAAAATTTTTATTACTTGCTTGAATGAAACTTATAGTAAGGAAGAGATAGCTGATGATGTGCCTGCAACCATCATATTCATCAAGCTGTTGTATGTTTCTTATGTTCCCATATGTATTGATGTTTTAATTTGATTATAACTTTTCTGTCTTGTTGGAAACACTGTGCAGAGGAAGGCAAGAGGAGCACTTGAGTTTGTTTGGAGCATACTTGACTTCCAAAAGGACCAAGATGTGAGAATTAAAGTTGGATATGAAATATCTCAGCAGGTACGATCTCTCTATTAGCTAAATTCTTTCCAGGTGGTATGCCTTTTCAGTACTGACTTTATCACTTTCTCTTCTTTGTAAAAGTTTAACTTTTAGATATAATCCATTGGCTCTTTATGTTGATCATTATGCATTGTTAAGAAAGCCAATTATATCCAACCAGTCTGATGATGTTTGCGTTATATCTTGTACTAAAATTTTACCGCCGCTTAACCATTGTGTGTTTTGTTTTGTTTTTTCCCCCACATAAAACACACAAATATCTGAAACTACCATATTGGCATCAAAAAGTTTTGTATACATTAGATCAAGTGTAGAGTAGCAAATGAAGAAGAAATTCTTGAAGAAAACAAGACTATTGAGGTATAAATA